GGCGGGCTCTCCCCCTTCCCCGAGGCTGGCGGTCACTGTCATGCTGGCTCCTAAAAGAACGACAGGAGGGACGCCTCCCTCCGACACCCACCGGCCTCCCCAGTCCTGGGCCTCCTTTCAGGTTCGCAGTGATGGCAGTTGCGGCGGCGCCAGTCCCCCCGGGAAAGCCTCGGCGGAGCAGAGCCATGCGTAGCCTCGGAGCCGCCCGGACAACCCGACCAGCAACTGTTTTTCCCCCGAAGCTCAATTTCTCCCCGGGTCACAGTCTTTCAATCGAAGAGCTCAGCACTCAGCTACCCCGCCTTCATTGTCGGTCAGGCCAAAGGGCGTTGCTCGGCGATGGTTTGATCTGGTCTACGTTCAGAAACTAACCGCGAACGTGCTAGCGTCGGTCGGCCTATAAGACCGTGATGACGCAAGACGTTCCTCCTTTCTTCCCTTCCACTCGCTGAGAGGTGAGGGCGGTTGCTTCTTCTTCTTCTTGAATTGGAGGGGGACGAATCCGGTTCCATCTGGGAAACGGAGGCCGTTTGGGGTCTTGAACCTCGCGCCGCGGCGGTAGGCAGGCATCCACGTAGGCAACGGGAATGACTCTGGCGGCGGGTTTGGCTGGGCTCGGGAGGGAGGGAGAGCCAGAAGTCCTCCCTTCTTCCCTCCCTCCCTCTGCCCCGTTTTGCTGTGCCGGGGCGCGCGGGCCCAGGTTTTAAGTGCGCCTGCGTGAACTGACCTGTGGACGAGGGCTACTGTTTGTACCCTTGTTGTGCTTGAAAAGGGAAAATGTTGGGGCTGCTCTTTTATTCGCCTGCGTGAACTGACCTGTGGACGAGGGCTACTGTTTGTACCCTTGTTGTTGTGCTTGAAAAGGGAAAATGTCGGGGCTACTCTTTTATGTTCAAAAGACGGTCGTTGTGAAATAAGAGGAAGATTATGCCAGTTCCAGACATAGACACCCATGTAACGGAGTCTATGGATAGATGTAGGTCTTCTGGTGTGCATCGTTGTTTATGGTTTTCTCAGGGCAGGTTGCTTGTTGTGTTCACTGGGGTGGCCAGCCTTTGAAATAACCGGTAGTGCTGAATGGTGATATCAAGGTTTTAATTCGGGCTGGCAAGTCTCAGATACGTGGAAGCCTGTTGGCACTGCTTGCAGCACCTTTCTTTCTTCCTGAAGTGTGACTAAAGCATAGTTTTGCATTTCATCCAAATGGCGCTTTTAAGGTGGTTTGGTAGCCTGGATTGTTTCATGTATCAGTTGCTCTCTCATTGTGTTGTCAAGGCGTCATTAGACAGAAGAGAACAGAATGAGATTCAGCAGTGTAAGAAGCAGAGTGCTGTGTGAAATTAGATTTTGGGATTCAGTGATATAGCATGTGGTGTCTCATTTCACTTGAAGTTGTATGTGAATGGCACTAAAAGAAGAAGCATTGCACAATGTATTTGAACTTAATTATTTTTAATTATTTTGTTACTTTAGTATCTGTACAGTATTTGAAAAAATACTTTGCTTCACATTTTTCTAGGTTGTAGGTCTCTGAAAAAGGTGAACTTAAAGCTTAATCAGTAATGTGCCCATGTATAATATTTCATTTTGTTTTTCATGTTAGATTCAAGATGAAGACCATTCTCGGCAACCAAACTGTTGACATTCCTGAGAAAGGTATGAATATGTTTTTGAAAAGCTTTAGTGATATATTATCTAGTTGAATTACAATGTTAATTTTTCTTTCTTTTTTTCTCCCCAGTTGACATTGCTCTGAAGGGGCGGACAGTTATTGTGAAGGGCCCCAGAGGAAGTCTACGAAGAGACTTCAACCATATCAATGTGGAACTTTCCCTTTTGGGAAAAAAACGCAAGAAGGTAAGGAAATGTACTGTATTGAAGTTTAGCATATTTCTCTTGTTTGTTTGTTTGATTCATGCTTGCTTTTCTGTTGAGAAGTAAAATAGCATTCAAAGTGGCTTTTCTGTTTTTATTCCGATTCTGTGTCAACTTTGTTCATCACCCACAAGCTTTTTGGAATTTTTTGGTTAGAACCTGCAGTAGGTTGGTGAGCCCGTCTGTGTTGTGGTAAAATAATGGAATGAGGAGTTCACAATGGGAAAATAGTTCACCATGAGTAGGGGAACTCTCTCTGTGTCTTAAATATTTCTTTACTATTTCCCCTCATTTTTTTCTCTATTGTAAATGTAGATCTGGAACACCTGTCAGGACAGATTTTCTGACAGACACAGCAGGTGCGGAAGGGTTTGTCGTGGAAATATGTGGTCACATTTCATCAGCTCCCTTTATCTCTCACCAGTGGCTGTGCTGGCTAGGAGTCATAGGAGGTGCTGTTTAATAAGTTCTGTGGGTTCACCTGTTCTCTATTCCTGGTTTCAGTTTTTACCTGCTGCCAGTAGTTCCCTTACCTTTGTGCTTTTAGCACTGTTGAGCCAGCTGTAGAACATGTGTTTGTGGTATATGTCTGGGAGTGCAAAGTATTGGATGTGGCAGTCTGCATTGACTAGTAGATCCCAGAAGTTCCACATTTCAGTGTTTGGTTCAGTAAGAAAGAGGCATAGGCAGGGGAGAGGTTTTGAAAATCTAAGGTGGATTCTATACACATTAAAGTACAAGGCTAAGGATCAAATTAGGTCAAGATAGTTAATATTACTCCAGTAGAAATGTACTGCTTGTAGTTCAATAGCCTTATTTGAAATGTGTTAATATATCACACCATCAAGTGGAAGAAATATTGTGCAGTAAAATGTTTGTTCTGTTTATTAGTATAGTTAGTGTCAAGTGTTTTTAGCTACTTATTGTATGCATATGTACAGATGGTGTTATGTTATTGAAATAGTTACATTTAACACTGATTCTAGACAGGGTTTCTGAGAATATTAGCCTTCAGCTTTTTCAGAGCCATGACCCATTTTAATCCCATTTTACAACAATCCTTTTTCCACGATATTCCCACTTTTCATAATTAGTAGGGCTCGTTTTTAGTGTTTTAACATCAGACTTACCACATCTCAGATGATATAGAGTTGCCTTTTCTTTAACTGCATTCCTTAAGAAAAGGAGCGTCTCACTACGCTTAGGGTAATCCTCAGGTTTGCAGAAATGGACTAAAGAAATTTACTAAAAAAAAAAAGCCCCCCCCCCCCCAAATTTCCAAACCTAGCCTACTGAGGATGAAGCATGATCAGTGGGCGTGGGATGCTGACTGAAGAGGGAGAGGATGGAATGGAGTGGCCTATAAGAGGAGCTGGCTGGCTGTTTGGAACTCTGAATAGGAATACTTTCCCCTGTAACATTTTGTTCCTAATACTGTTTGTCTGGCCAGATATGATTGTAGAATGTCTATAGGTGGGCACAAACCGTTGATTTGGCAGTTCATGCAGGTTCATTTAGCAGTCGAACATGGGTTGAGTGCTTCAGAGCCCCTCCTCCACTCCCTTCCCTGCCTCCTGCATTGGTTTGTGCCCATCTCTAAATATGCCCTAGTCATAATTAAAGTAGTAGAAAAGAAATTCAAGCTTCAGTCATTTGAAATTTTCTGTTTTTCACACAACTGTTCTTGACCATCTCCGGATAATCTAGCATGTGAACTGAGTAAACTGTGTTTCCCCAAAATAAGGCAGGGTTTTATATTAATTTTTGCTCCAAAAACACATTAGGGCTTATTTTCAGGGCATGTTTTATTTTACAGTCATGTCATCTTCAGGTTGCTGCACAATGGTGGAGGACGGGGTTTCACTTAACTGGAGCTTTTGGGGGGTAGGCTTATAAGCATCCTGAAAAATCATATTAGGGCTTATTTTCAGGTTAGGTCTTATTTTTGCGGGTTTGTGGTCTTATTTTTATTAGGTCTTATTTTATAGGGTATGTGGCTATAGTTAGAGAACCACTGACAATTCCTGGGCTGGAAGATAGCTTGAAAATGACACTGAAGTTGCAGAAATTGCTGCTCTCAAATTGAAGCTATGTGTGGCAGTTTACTTGCTCTGTTGTTCTTATATGCCTAAGGGCAGTGTGGTTAGGTTGAATCATTTACAGAGAGTGCAGTTTCATGGGTGAACCAGCTTTTGGTTTATCTGAAATGGCAACATGTCCTTTTTATTCATAATATTTTAAGAATTGTTCAGATTTATGTGCTAACAGTGTTGATAAGTATATTAGTGCTGCTTTAATGCTTGCTGTGAGACAGTGAAAGGAAATTCTGTGTCGTCTGCCATCATTCAGTGGGGAAAGGGCCATTTTGTCAGTTGCAGCAAGTCTTACTGAGCCAAGGCTGCAAAAGGAAAGATCAGCTGCTCTAAGTTCCGGGAAAGGGCCATTTTGTCAGTTGCAGCAACTCTCACTGAGCCAAGGCTGCAAAAGGAAAGATGCTCTAAGTTCATCTAACACCCACCCAATGAAGGTGCTGCTTGAACCACTGGATAGCTCAGTGGTTTAGGTATCTGGCTGTGGAGCCAGAGGTTGGGAGTTTGTATCCCTAGTGTGCCCCCCTGACCAGGGCCAGACCCGAGGATTAGAGATGGAGATATTCATATACAAATACCCCCACACAGCTGAACTTAATGAGGTTCGGACCCCTGGGCCGGACCATCCACTCATGCATCTGCTGGCAGCAGCCTCAGTCAGCCTTCCAATTGCTCCTGGAGCGCTGCTCTCTTTCTGCTCATCTAGCCACTTGGCAGCCGTGCATGGATACTCGTCCTCCCTCCCCGTTCTGGAGTTGGCTAGATGAGCAGAAAGAGAGTGGCACTCTAGGAGCAATTAGAAGGCTGGCTGAGGCCGCCACCAGCAGCAGACACATGGCCCCACAGCGAAATCTAGCTATGCAGGGATATTTGTATTCATATACGAATACCCCCATCTCTATTGATGATCCATAGGGTTGCTTCCAGTTCTGCAGTTCTAAGATTAAACCCATGCTAGATCACTTACCAGTAGGTGCTGTTTATGTTCCAGGGTGCCCAAATCATTCCTGCAAGATATATAGGGTGACTTTGCATTAGTCAAGCTTTCCAAACCAGAGGAAACTTAAGTCTTGCCGGATATTTGTGTGGCTAATAGAAGGCCACCATGGGGAACTTCCTGCTTCCCCAACAGTCACAAGTAAAAATGCCTTTTTCGGCTCGTGTGCCCAAACTGGGGGGGGGGGGGACAGTGGGTGGTGTGCCGCTGCCACAATGGTGGCAGACCCAGAACCGAAAGTGGTGGCGGAAAGGGGAATCCTGGCACGGAGGTGCCTCAAGACCCCTCCGCTGCCAGCACCAGCTACAGCCACCTCCTGAGTTTTGGCTGCACTGGGGGGGAGTAGCGATCTAGCAACCTATGGCTCGTGTGCCAGCAGAAAGGGCTCTGTGTGCCATAGGTTCGCCATTGCTGAACTAGGTCAGACCCAGAACCGAAAGTGGTGGCGGAAAGGGGAATCCTGGCACGGAGGTGCCTCAAGACCCCTCCGCTGCCAGCACCAGCTACAGCCACCTCCTGAGTTTTGGCTGCACTGGGGGGGAGTAGCGATCTAGCAACCTATGGCTCGTGTGCCAGCAGAAAGGGCTCTGTGTGCCATAGGTCCGCCATTGCTGAACTAGGCAATTCAACAGCTATAATAAGAGCAGAATGCCTGGATCTTGTATTAGAGAATAAGAAAACTAAATTAACAAATGCAGTAATAAGCCAATTCAGATAACTTCTTTTGCAAATATAGACAGGACAAAATAAGAAAACTAGGTTCCTTGGGTCTAATTATTTAAGCATTAGATCTCTTTTGTACTTTAGGCAAGACACAGAGTGTATTTCACCAGAGTAATAGGATGCAGAAAGGATACAGAGGAGATAGTGAGGGTGTTACTTTGTGGCATCACAACCTTTTATGTTTGTGATCTAGCAATAACATCTTCCAGCAACCAGCCAGAACCAGTAAAAAGCAGAACTTCCCACTGCTGTATGTGTAAGCTGTCATGGGCAGATGAAGTGCAGTAACTTTCCCAGTTAGTATTCCTTGCCAGTTGACATGGGCAGGTGCTAATAATAGATAAGCAGATGTACCCTCCTGGGATATTGTACATTAAATTGTTGTGAAAATTCATCTTGCAGCTCACCCTTTCATTCTGCCATGGGCAGATGAATTACCTTTGTCTTTCTTTTCTCTTTCTTCCCTTTCCTTTGATTGTTTTATGAATTTTTTAAAGTTGGAGATCAAAACATGTCTTCATCTCTTTTTTAAAAAAATGATGTGAGCCATTTTGGGAGCCCATTGCTGCACTAGCTTGACAGGGATTACTCTCCTCCCCCACCTTACAGCTCTCAGTACTGCCTGTTTACTGTCCCCCAGGAACAGATTTTGAGGGTGTAAGAGAACCTCTCCTCTGTTTCATTGAAAGAAGTACAGTAGCTCCATTAGAAGAACAGCCATATTGGATTGTGGCCATTATTTCTCTAAATGTTATAATAATAATCATATGCTGTCAAGTCAGTGCTGACTTACGGAGACCCTTTTTCGGGGTTTCCGGGCAGAGAACACTCGGAAGTGGTTTACCGTTCACCCTGGGACTGTGCAGTTTGCCCATTATACAGACTGGCTCTACTCTCAGGAGGCAAGATGGGGAATTGAATTCCCAGCTTCTGGCTCTGCAGCCAAATACCTAAGCCATTGATGTTTTTTAAAAAAATTCTTATAGATGCTGAGGTAGAAGGTCATAGAGTGAAACTTTTTTTTACTAGCAGTAATATTATGCAAAATACTAGTGTATTATAACCATGAGCTGGACATGAACAACTTGGCATGCTTTCCCCCCCCTACAGCTGCGTGTTGACAAATGGTGGGGAAACAGAAAGTAGCTGGCAACAGTCCGCACAATTTGCAGTCATGTGCAAAACATGATCAAAGGTGTCACATTGGTAAGTCTTAACCTTAAAAGAGAGCTCAAAATTCAATCTGTGTTAATCAAAGCTTCATCTTGGCAGTTTTTCAGCTGTGTTATTTTAAATTATGCCATGCAACATTTGAAGCATTTGTAGTACTTCTCATTTGCAGTTTTGAAGGAAAAAATATTCAAGATCTTCCTTTATGTCTGTTGTATGTATGAAATCTGTATGATTTTAGGGCTTTCGCTACAAGATGAGGTCTGTGTATGCCCATTTCCCCATCAATGTAGTTATACAGGAGAGTGGTTCACTGGTGGAAATCCGTAATTTCCTTGGGGAGAAGTATATCCGCCGGGTACGCATGAGGCCAGGTAAGGAACTAGATTCTTCAGTGGCTTTTATTGCTCAGTTTGAGATATAAAAGGAAGTGGACCAAGAGAGAATCACTGCAATAACAGATCCTCTATTGATCTCTAAAAGCTCCGGGCCAAGCTCCCATTGGTCCTGTGCAGCCTAAAGTATTGTTGGATAGCAAGTTACAACATTCTAAGCTCCCAAGTGGCTGAACTAACCTTGTGCAGCCAAGACTGTATTGCACCAGAGAGGGCTATGCACATTAATCAGATGGTGCTGGCAGAAAGTTCTTCAGGATACTGTCCTAGAAATGTGAATGACTGGAAAAAATTTTCTCATTTTTTCAATAAGGTCACAATAATAAATTATGTTCATTGCTTGTCTTCAATGCTTATGCTTGAATATAACTAATGTATGTGTTATATTAGTGGCTCCCAACCTTGGTTCCCCATATCATACAAGTCCCAAAAATCATAGCTAGTGGTGAAGGCTTCTGGGAGTTTTAGTCCAAGAACATCTGGGGACCCAGAATTTGGAACCATTGCATTAGATCAACTGAATGTGTCAAAGCACCAATTTTTCTTTTAACTTTTTTCTCTTTTTTTTGAGATGGGTAATGTCATTTAATGATCTTTTCTGAATAAACAAATATATTTTAGGTGTAACATGTGCATTATCTCAAGCCCAGAAGGATGAGCTGATCCTTGAAGGAAATAACATTGAATTGGTATCTAACTCTGGTATGTCAGCTACATATTTTCCTGTTCTAGAGGGAATGTTTTGCTATGTTGTGTTTTGTAGTGCTGTATGAACAGGATGTGTTATGTTTTCCCTTCATAGTGCGTTTCTTTCTAAATTACTGAATATGGACAATGGATATTGTAATGGGAGAGTTTGACTTGGAAATTGAATAATTTTAATTGAAGTTAGCAATGTCTGCCCTAGCACTTAAATCTGGTTAATAGAGTACTCTTAACTTAACACAATCTTCTTTTCTTTATAGCTGCCTTGATCCAACAGGCCACCACAGTCAAGAACAAAGATATCAGAAAATTCTTGGATGGAATCTATGTTTCTGAGAAGGGAACAGTCCAACAGCCAGATGAATAATAAAACAATAGGTTGGTAGCCTTTCCACATGTCTATATCATGTGTTGTGGAAAAGGCTGAATTTTTCTTATATACTGCAGAATTAGCAATCCGTAGCTTTTTGATCTTCAAAATACTAGGGAGCAGTAGTGTCAATGTGATGGAATTATCTATCCTCTGGGTAACCCCACTTCAAATCTCGATGTTTATGGCCTGTGGGCGACAGGCAGTGTTCCAAAGCCCCTGGAACTTTCATGGAGATAGGATTTTCCATTTTAAGACTAATTCCCCCCAGCACCTTTTATGGGGGTGGTGGAAAATTTACAATGGAGGCAGAACATCCACAGTTGCCCACTTCTACAGAAGGACACAGATGACTTTTCACAACATAATTAGTCACAGTATTTATTCACTTGATTAGAAATCCTGGGTGACAGCAGTATGGGAAGATGTTCCTTCTCACTTAGAAGAACTATAAGCATTTATGGTGCCAAGCGGTCTCACTGTTACTGTGTTACCACTTGGTAAATGGTCACATATCTTCACTAAGTGTGACTATTTAAGCGATTCTGATAAAATTACCAGTGTGGAGTGGGGAAGCTTACTTGCTGACCCTGCTCCCCTTTTTGGAATTTCCCATTGCCTTTCCAGATCTTGGTATTCAAACTTACCTTCTTTCTGAGGTTCCTGTTAAGGTACCTTTTCACACAGAGTTGATCCTTTCTGGACACTCTTCAGCCTTTGCTTATTCAGAAGGCTGTAGCCAGCAAGTGAGGGTATTTCTCTGGTTATTAGTTAATAGAGATGCATGGTGGCAAAAGCATTTCTATAACTAACCATCTGAATGGATCTCTGACTGCTGGGTCCTGAAATTAATATTCATCACCTATCAGACTATTTGATGGAGGAAAATGCTGTATGCTTCTTGATTATCTTGTATTATTGCTAGGGATTGGGAGTATTCGTATTCATACAGTGGTGCCTCACTTAACGGGCGCTCCGTTTAGCGACGAAACCGCTTAGCGACGATTTTGCGATCGCAAAAGCGATTGCGATGTTTCCTATGAGTTTTTTTCGCTTTGCAATGATAGATTCCCTGTTTCGCTAACCAATCATTGCAAAGCGGTGATTTTTTAACAGCCGATCGGCGGTTCCAAAATGGCCGTGTTTTCGCACTGATTCCTCGCTTAAGAGGCAGCAAAAATGGCTGCCGTATGGAGGATCTTCACTTTAAGGTCAGTTTTTAGCCCATAGGAACGCATTAAACAGGTTTTAATGCGTTTCTATGGGCTTTTTAAAATCACATAGCGATGAAATCGCTTAGCAGCGATTTTTGCTGCATGGATTAACGTCGCTATGCGAGGCACCACTGTATATGAATATCCCTCCGTAGCTGGAGTTAATGAGGGTCCAGCTGCTGGGGCTAGACCGTCCACTCACACATCCGCTGCCGCCACCCCTGCTCATCCTTCCAATCGCTCCTGAGCACCATTCTCTTCCTGGTGGTCTAGCCACTCTTGGCAGAGGGAGGGAGGACAAGTCTCCCTGCAAGTGTTGCTCCAGAGTGATTTGAAGAAAGAGAGGGGCTGCTGGCGAATGTGTGAGGAGATGTTGTTAACTCCAGGTGTGGGGCTGCTGGCGAATGTGTGAGGAGATGTCGTTAACTCCAGGTGTGCATGGATATTCGTATACAAATACCCCCATCTCTGATTATTGCCTATATAGCACTGTCAGTGTGCATGGTACTGTATAGGGCAGGCAAAAGCAAGGAAGCTTACCATCTTGTGTCAAGATCTGTTGCAGTCGAAAAACTCTGGTTGCTAAAACAAGAGATAAATTATCACAGCCTTTACTGATAAAAGGGAGAGAGGTATCTAACCGAATTGAATGTGGACAGTGAGTTCCTATTAACCATAATATCTCCCACTCCACCTGAGCCCCCAATACTGTCATGCTCTTGAGAGGCATATTTTAAAATATTTGAGACACTTGAAATGTTCCTTGCAAATGAGTTTTCCTAAAATGTCTTCAGGAGCTATTTGAAACACCAAGGGCTGAATGATCATTTGAGCCCAGGACGTTTGCATCTCTATAGACCAAAGAATGTACTTGTAATGACTACATAAATTGGTAATATATGCCACAATTTTTTTTTTATTGTACAAGGCAAGATAGACAGGTTACTTTGTTGGTTGATTGCTTGAAATAGGCAAGTTTGAATTCTCAAGATTAGTGTAAACTGTGTGTGGCTCTTAGGGAGATGAATTCATCCAGTATTCCTTTTCTTCCAGTATTCCTAGTATTGTTTCTGCACAGACTCATACAATGACTTTTTCATGAACTAATAACAGACCTGGATTTGAAGTAGCTTGCAAGGGAGCCTGATCTGCATTTACCTTGATTTGTATCATGTGCATGTATAAGATATAGATATGGTTGATACAGAAAAAAGGGTAAGAATTTCTCTTGGCAAGGGCAAGGGAGTCAATACTTTTGACATTGACTTGTTATTTAATATACTACTCTTAGAACTGCAGAGCAGGAAAGGACCCCACGGATCATCAAGTTCAGTCCCTGCCAAGGAGGCATAGTGGGGAATTGAACTCCCAATCTGTGGTTCCACAATCAGATGCTTAAACTATTGAGCTATCCAGCAGTTTTAAGCTATAAATTACAAAGAGCCATATAATTGGATTTTGGGTTGTGTTTTTAAAAGGCAAGAAGATTTAAAATAAGTGGAGTTAGGTGAACAGAGTTGAAGTCAACTGATTTTTGCCAAGACATTTAATTTTATTTCCCAATAACTAGGCTTAAAGACTAAGGGAGGAATCTGACATATTACTGAATGCTTTATCATGGGCTAGTTACTATGAAATTTAGGTTTTTACTGATTGTTCTGACAGTTTAATCTGCTTCATTGTTCTAGATTGACCATGAGAACCTGGGCTTGAGCATACATCCTACCTTCAGGCTGCATCAACTTCAATTTATATGGAGAAAAATAAAACCATCTGTTTCAAATGTGGTTTTGGGGTGTGTGTGACTGAGCATGGAACAATTCTGTGCTGAATGATTAGCTTTAAGTATATCACACAATTTATTCTTACATCTTTGAAAAGCAGTGTGAATGCTTTGAAGAGGTCTTCTGGTTCGATTCTCCTTTGCCATGTAGAACAGTAGTAGCAAGCATCTTCAGATGTGCTTCCAAGCCTTTTTCATTATTCTTACAAGTGTTAGGTTATCTTTGAGAATCTGTCAAGAATGTACAGTAGAATAATGCTGGTACTGTATAAATCTCCAATTTATTCAAAAATTAGGGGAGAAATAGAATATTGTATCTCAAAATTATCTTAATTTAGGGTGAAGGAAGGCTTGCCAATGAGTGTACAAGCACAGCAGATAGTGAGGTTTGGTTTATACCCTGTTTCTTGCCCTAACTGAGGCACCCATAGTAGATTACAATATAAAAATGAAGCAGTCGGATATCAAAGAACTGCAGTTACATAAATGACATCCAGTTCAATCTTCCTTGCATTCAGATATGGTGACATTGTATGATTGCAGGCTGAATATGAGTCAGCAGTGTGGTGTGTCTGCAAAAAAGGCCAATGCTATCGTGTCCCCTGACAATAAGACAGGGTCTTATATTAATTTTTGTTCCAAAAAAACATTAGGGCTTATGTGGGGGGCATGTTTTATTTCACAGTAATGTCATCTTCTGGTTGCTGCACAATGATGGAGGGTGGGGTTTCACTTAATTAGGGCTTATTTTTGGAGTAGGTCTTGTATTACGAGCATCCTGAAAAATTATACTAGGGCTTATTTTCAGATTAGGCCTTATTTTCATGGAAACTGGATTCCAAAAAAACATTAGGGCTTATGTGGGGGGCATGTTTTATTTCACAGTAATGTCATCTTCTGGTTGCTGCACAATGATGGAGGGTGGGGTTTCACTTAATTAGGGCTTATTTTTGGAGTAGGTCTTGTATTACGAGCATCCTGAAAAATTATACTAGGGCTTATTTTCAGATTAGGTCTTATTTTCATGGAAACTGGGTATTGTAGGTGGTGTTAACAGAAGTATAATCTCCAAATCCCATGAAGTACTTGTTCCCCCATGTCTGGTACTGGTTAGGCCCCATCTTGTGTACAGTTTTGGACACCACACTTTAAGAAGGATGCTAACATCTGGAGCAAGGTCAGAAGATGGCAAGGAGGACAATCGGGACTGGAAACCAAGCGGTATCAGGAAAGACTGAAAGAACTGGGCATATTTAATCTTGAGGAAAAAAGGCTGAAAAGTATGATAATACTCTTCAAGTACTTGTCATACAGAGAGGGACAAGATTGGTTCTTGATCAGGAAAAATGTCCAGACTTTGAGAAGTAGGACAGTGGAACCATTTACCTCAGGAGGCATTGAAAATAAGCTTGGACAGCGATCTGTCAGATCTACTTTGATTTGGATTCTTGCACTGAGCACGAGTTTTATTTTTTAAAAAATTAGCCTATTTTTCTTAGAAAAGGACCCAAGGTGGCTTGCAGCATCTGAAGACAATAAGAATAAAACAGTGAGTATACATAATTAAACAACAATACTTAAACGTAGAAACACTAAGTATAGAAATATTAAAAACAAAATACCCCTCTTAGAAATGGGAGTCACAAGCAATATTAAAAACAGAAGTGATACATAAAAATCTGTCCAAAAAGATCACACTCAGGCAGCCAATCATTGAGGAAAAGCTTGCCTGAAGAGAAAGGTCTTCAGTTGCTTGCAGAAGGACAACAAAGATGGGGCTTGTCTGGCCTCCTGTAGCAGAGAGTTCCAAGGTCTGGGAGCAGCAAGACCCTCTCTTGTGTTTCCATCAAATGCACCTGTGAAGCTAGTTGGACCAGGAGAAAGGACTCCCCTGATTATCTTGGTTCTCAGTGACCTCATAGGTCCCTTCCAGCTTAATTCTATTATCCCTGTTCAGCCTCAGAGAAATAAGTGGTATGAAGACCGTAAGTCATAAGGGAATTGTGTTGAGTAATAACTTTTTAAACACTACCTAGTAACCATCCAAAGAAGCATAAATGAACAAGGTTCCACTATTGTTTTTCTGAGGGATAGTATATGCATCTTAATTGTTATTGGCAAACCTCCCCCACTCCTGAAATATGAACTGAACTGCACAATATACCATTGCTACGTGAGCAGCTTCAACTGAAGAAAGTAGGAAAAAACTCCTGGCCTTGTCTATAAACCAAATCTCTTATGAATACGCAGTGGAAATGAAGAACAGATTTAAGGAACTATTTGGTGGACAGAGTGCCTGAAGAACTTTGGATAGAGGCGCGTAACATTGTACAGGAGGCAGCAACAAAGACCACCCCAAAGAAAAGGAAATGCAAGAAAGCAAAGTGGCTGTCCAACAAGGCCTTACAAATAGAGAAGAGAAGGGAAACAAAATGCAAGCAAGATAGGGAAAGTTACAGAAAATTGAATGCAGACTTCCAAAGAATAGCAAGGAGAGACAAGAGGGCCTTCTTAAATGAACAGTGCAAGGATATAGAGGGAAAAAATAGAAAGGGAAAAACCAGAGATCAGTTCAAGAAAATTGGAGATATTAAGGAACGTTTTATGCAAAGATGGACATAATAAAGGACAAAAAGGGTAGGGACCTTACGGAAGCAAAAGACATCACGAAGAGGTGGCAAGAATACACAGAGGAATTATACCAGAAAGATCTGGATGTCCTGGACAACCCAGAGAGCGTGGTTGCTGACCTTGAGCCAGACATCCTGGAGAGTGAAAAGTGAGCCTTAGAAAGCATGGCTAACAACACCAGTGAAGGTGATGGCACTCCAGTGGAACTATTTAAAATCTTAAAAGATGATGCTGTTAAGGTGCTACACTCAATATGCCAGCAAGTTTGGAAAACTCAGCAGTGGCCAGAGGATTGGAAAAGATCAGTCTACATGCCAATCCCAAAGAAGGGCATTGCCAAAGAATGCTCCAACTACCATACAATTGCACTCATTTCACACGCTACCAAGGTTATGCTCAAAATCCTACAAGGTAGGCTTCAACAGTATGTAGAC